ACAATGGAATACTACTCTGCTATATATATATAAATAAAATGAAATACTACCAGTTGCAGTAACTCGGATGGACTTAGAGAAAATTTCATTAACTGAAATAAGCCAGGCACAGAAAGAGAAGTACCACATGTTCTCACTTATTGGTGGGAGCTAATCAAAATAAATAAATAAATATACAAACAAATAAATGGTGGGAGGAGGAAGAAGACACAACAATCAGAACAATTCCTTGAACTGGTTAAGACAAGTGAACAGATATGATTTGATGGGTGGGGGGAAGTGTAGAAGGAGGAGGGAAAATTAGGAATGGGTAAAGAGACACAAATATCAACTACATTGTATACTAATAAATTTAATTTTTTTTAAATTAAAAATTTTTTTATTTTCATAAAAATGGGAACATAGTCATTCTCATTTGTTTACACAGTGTCTGTGACTGCTTCCATGCTACAATGACAGAGTTCAGTAGAGCAACAGAAACCGCATGGCCTGCAAAGTCTAAAAATTTCCTATTTGGTCCATTAAAGGAATAGTTTACTTACTCATGTATGGGGCCATTATCTCCACCTAGATCAGTGCCTTGGCCTCTGGCATAAAAAAAAAAAAAAACATTCACCTGATTTTGAAGGAAGGAGTCACTCGTGCAGTGTTGTATATTTCTATAATGGGTTGTCCAAGGCAGAAGGGAATGGTTGGCTTTGGGGATCTGTGCTCTTTAGGTTCAAAAGCCACCAGAAACTGCAGGAGCCAACATGCAAAGGAGTGAACGGGTGAGCTCAGCAGGTGCAATGCACCCTTCAAGCAGCCCCCAAAGCTGATGCAGTGGGTGGGGGATACTGTCAATCCTTGCCTGATTCCTCAGTCTGTTCACCATTCAGGTGCTAAGAGGAGAGAGAAGTTTCATTATTATTACCCTCAGACCCCAATATTAAGAAAAAAATTCTTTGGTGAAAACAGAGTAGAATGAAGTCCTACTCTTATACCAAATCTGTAATCATCAAGACAAGTCCCATTACTTTTTGGTAGAGGCATCAATTCCTTCTTTTCCATGGCATGACATTAGTAAATGCAACCTTTCCTATTTCACTACTTTTTTTCCCCATGAAAATACAATGTTTACTTACATTATTTCTAATTTTAAAAATAACATGCTCTAGCTTCAATTGGAGTAGAGAAGCTTGAAGCATAGCCACAAGAACTTCTAGATAAATACAGAATCCATCTGTTAGCAGGCACTGTAAAGCTGTTAAGAAAAAAGCTGGCGTCAAGATTTCAGAGAGGAGAGAAACAGAGAGGTAAGCTAACACCTATAGTCAATTTTCAACTGTGTTCGTATCTTGTCCAATGCTGAATCAGCACAGAAAGTGTTATATCATTAATACTGCCTATGAGAGGGAAATAAACTCCTTCTGGAAGAACATAAACATCATCTGAAACTCCATTTTTCGAAGGTACTGTCTTACTTTTGGCATTCTATCAATTTCATTAGGGTTTTAAAGTATCTTTCGTTCCTTTCTTCCCCTTTTACTGTTTGTCTTCAGTGTTCCTTGGTTTTTTGAGGTGGCATGGCATAGTTTCTTTCACTTTCTCAATTGCATTTTTTTCTACCAGTGGGTTTTGTCCTTTCCTGTGTATTCATGGACTCCCAAGCCAGGAAGAGGGGAGGGCCATTGGCCTCAGACATCACCCCCCAACAATCATACCCGGCCCAGTGACGATCACCAGGTTGCCATCAGAAGCACCCTGGGCTCCCATGCTGGGGCAGTGTTGGGCTGAGGGCCTCAGCCATGGTCCCCCAATGTCCACAACCAGCCCAGTGACAACCACTGAACCACCACAGCACAACTGGCTCCAGAGCCAGCAGGCAGCTGATGACCTTAGCCACACCTGCTTAACATCTGCAACCAGCCCAGTGACAACCAGCAAGCCACCACCCGAAACCCCTTGGTCACCCCTAACAGAATGAGGAGGGTGCCATGGGCCTCCACCAAGCCTGCCCTCCTTCTTACTCCTCCCACTCTATTTCCTTCCCCCTTCTCCTCTCCCCTCTCCACAACTGCTTTGCAACAACACTTCAGAATGTAAGAAAATAAAACTATTAATAAATAAATACTTTAAAAAAAATCAAAGACTGAAATATCTTATAATTATGAAGAAGCCCCAAATTATATGGAGCAAATCATATCCAGCTGTGCATGTATCTATAATATGTACACTTAGTGAGGAATGGGAAGCCATCTCCTACAATCTTGCTAATATATGAATGAATCAAAATGAAAAAATTAGACACATTTTTCAACATAAAAATTATAAAAATAACAGAAAATGATATACTTTCAGAATCTGATAAAGAATAACTGCCAAAATGTACTTAAAAATATCGTTCTCAGTACTGAGATATTAACCCCCCACCCACTACCACCAGTCTCTTCAATGCTTTCCTGGAAATCCTGGCCAGTTTGATAATGCAAAAAAAGAGAAAATAAAGACACAAGAATTGGAAAATGAAATAAAACAATTATTAAATCAAATAGCAGGATAATGTACATAGAAATTCCAATGGAATCTACAGGCAAAATATTAATAATGATTAGTAAATTTAGTGAGGTTTTTGCATATATGTTCATCAGTATAATAAAATCTATTATATTTATATATTCCAGGTACAGAAAATGGAAGAGCCACAAACCTAACAAAAGATTTGCAAGGCAGTTCACTGAAAACACAACATCACATTCCAGTGTTTGGGAATTTGACAAACTGATACTTTTAATTAATGCTTATTAGAAAATGCAAACACCTAAGAGTAGCCAAAACAATCCTAACGAAACAGAACAAATTTAAAAGATACACTGCCAGATACCAAGATCTGTTACGAAGCTTTAGAGACCCAAACTGTAAACAGCCTAAAGTCCATCAAGCTACCACACGTATGAGTTTTGCTCTTCTCTCAACTTGTGTTGGTAGAGGATTGGAACCAAACTGTGACTTTGGGAACTTCAAGAACCCTGAGGTTCAGTGTGCGAGAAACAATGTTACCTTAGGGATGAAGTAGTTTCTGAATTTAACGTCACATGTCACTGCATGGGGCAGGTTGGTGGGAAGGAGGTTAATATATCTCTGGATCTCATGCACCACAGCATCTGTGTAGGGCATGCGGCTCCTGTCCTGCATGCAGGGACTCCGGTGTCTGCCAACCACATGGCCAATCTCTTCTTGGACTTTAGCTGATAAGACACAAGGAAGAACTGATGGAAAAGGAGAAAAACGGCACATTTGTGGTAGCAATTCAGGATTACAGGAAGTATTATGAAGGTGTTCCACCAGCATTATAAACATAAATTATAGGGGAAGATTGCTATAATACAATAATAAAATTGTGCCATAAATTAAATCTGAACATACATATATAGGCATATACATTAGTAATGCAAATAGAAACAACAAAATGTTTGAAAATATTGTTAGCATATATTTAAGTCAAGAAAATACTGTCTTACAGAAAGAAAAACAGGAATCAGATATTAATTTTATTTCAAAACGATTCCATGGTGCTTAAATATTAAGTTCAGGATGGCTGGTTAGCTCAGTGGATAGAGTGTTAACACTAAGGTCCAAGTTTTGATCCCTGTACAAACCAGCTGCCAAAGAAGAAAAAGTTAAAAAGAATTAAATCATGCTAAAGGACCTATTTGTAATGTATGTATCTGTGCATGTTTATGTGCCCGTGTGTGTCTGTGTGTGCATGCAGTTAACTATGGTACCGTCTTCATCCCCCCACTTCCCAGATGTGGCCATCTCGAGCATTCTAGTAGTTTATTCTAAACATTAGATTCATATTTCTAAATACCAACTCAGAATAAATAACAACTCTATTTCTCACTTATCCATTTTCAACACAATTTAATCATTTTCTGGTATGTGAGAGATTAGAATCCTAATCTCCATCTCCACCTCATATTTGGACTCACACCCACACACTGATAAATAAACACAAGTCTCCC